TAGTTCAAACATAATTCCAACATTTCTAAGCATTTAAATCCACAAAATATCATCACATGGCAAGTAAATGCAAGTTCAATACTTTCCTCCCCCACACTTAAACTTCACATTGTCCTCAATGTGAGAAAGGAAAAATAACGAAAATAAGAGAAAGTAATACTCCCCTAATGAACTTGCGCGATCCGAATCCATGGCAATTTGATGAATTTCCAACTTTACTTGAAAGAATGGAGACTTCAATTAATGCACCTTGAAAAAAAAAATACAATTCTTAAGAATAAAAGCTTGCAACCAATAAGAAGAAAAGTGGAGTTGAAGGAGGAAAAAGAGGGAAGAATGAGGAAAAGTGGTCCGAGGCTTCGTTTTGGAAAGGATCCGAGGTCGTTTTTGAAAGGATCCGAGGTCGGATCATGATAAGTGAGCTCGGATCAAGAAGTTCGAATTTTTTCTGATTGCAGAAGTGGATCCGAGCTTGGATCCAGAAGCTCGAAGTTTTCTCTGATTGCAGAAATGGATCCGAGGCCTTGGATCCATTAAATCTGCACTTATTGCAGAATTTTTTTGCAATTTTCAGTTTGACCCCAATTCTTCAAAATACACCCTAGATCATTTCTATATCAAAATAAACCATTCACGCACATGTAAAATGATCTAAACATGCATTCTAAACCTCTTTAATGCATCAAAAACCATAATTACTGAATTTGAGGTATTGAGATCTTTGATCAAACTTCGCGTTTTTCACCTCATTTGGTCTTTTTTTGCATCTTTTTCCAAAACCTACAAATGAAAAACAACAAAATTACTCAAACTTATACTTTAAACATAAAATCACTCTAAAGTAACACGAACTTAAACAAGCATTGGGTTGCCTCCCAATAAGCGCTTCTTTAAAGTCAATAGCTTGACTATATCCCCTCATTTTTCAAGGAGGCTTAGTTAACGAATAATCCACCATTTTAAGCCTTGGTGGATCATTGTAAGGTGACTTAATAGAAAAAGCCACATGATCTAATGATCTGAGAGATGGAAGTGACTTACATATTCCAAGTGTTTCATAGATATTACCTTGAATATGCACCACTTGAGAACTTACCAAAGGAAATGTCATGAGAGTATATTGGGCAGGAATACCTTTAGAACCTATACTTTCAATGCACTCCTCAAGAGGGGTGAAAAATGAGTCATTAAAACTCACCTCTTGAGGTTCAAAGTTAGTTCCAAAGATATTATCATGTGAAATGGATATTTGCTCATTAAAACACTCTTGAGATTCATCATTTTCATCAAAATGCAACCCATTTTCACATACAACATTCCCACCATTCATGTTAGGATCATTTTGCACATTATTAGAGGAAATAACTTCACACAATACATTCAATTGCTCATGTATATCACCAAAGTGAGAAGCTAATTCATCTAACCTTTCCTCAATCCTATCAAAACGGTCAGAGGTTGCATTTGCTAGCTTTTCTATGGCTAAATCAAATTGATTAGAAAAATTTTCTACAGCTAGCTCCCAAGATGCATTAGAATCATTAGCTAATGGTTCACTTTCTAACTCCCAAGGTAGAGGTGTATTAGCTAACTTCTCTATTGCCAACTCCCAAGATGGTTTTGATTCATATTGGACACTTTCAGGTTGGTAATCATAAAAACATGAATAATCACTATAAGTACATTGATCATCCCAACCATAAGCAGGAGAATTGCTCCAATTAGCACTATATTGATTAAAACAAGGATTGTAATGCTCTAATTCATCATAATAATCCACATTTTGTGCTTGCATACATGTATTAGTAGCATGATAATCTCCACACAAGTCACAAATCACATGATAAGAATTAAAAACATTAACATTCCTCCTCTGCTCAATTTCATGCATCATGGTGTCCATTTGAACTTGTAACTTAATTACATCAAATTTTGCCTTTAAACACCTTAAACCATCTTCAAAAGACATACATTCAGTAAATTTTTGGTTACCTCTGTTGAAGGATTTTTGCACTTGGTAACCATCCATTGCCAATCTTCCACTTCTCAAGCTTTGTCCTCCAAATTGACCTACCCTTCTCATCACCTAAAATTGCTTTTAAACAACCTCAAAAGCAAAATTAGTAAGAAAAATAGGTAATGAAACACATACACATAAAATACAAAAATAACAGAAAATAACATTCACATTATAACTAATATTATGTCTAAACTAATAAAGTTGCTCTTCACACCGATATTGCCAAATCTTCCCCGGCAACGGCGCCAAAAACTTGACGGGTATTTTACATACGTACAAGTTAAAAAACCGAATTACACCCGTTCACTGCAAGTATACAGATCAACTAGTAGTTTAGGGTATATATCGGGTCGATCCCACAGGGAAGAGTGAACAATTACCGGTATTACTAAAGCTTCTCTATTATTTAGACTATCAATGAATTATAAGAAATTTAACCTACTGAAATTATACAAAATAACAAATAAAAGCTCCTTAGGTTGTGGTATCCCTAACTACTCATGCAAGTGCTATATTTGGATCATTAATTACTACATTTAGGCTAGTTATGGTGTAATTTCCTTAAACATGTGAAACCTACTTTCGTAGTGAATCAACTATACTCATAACTAATCCATACCTATTTTCATGGTTATGAAATTAGCTACAAGTTCATTTCTTCAATGAAATTACATGAAATGAATCACTAAAAACCACATAAGTGCACCTCTACTTTCGTGAGTGTACTCCCTATGTTTAGCACCTCTTGAACTAGTGTTAAATCTCAATTTTCATTGCAGAAACAACACCTTAGATAATCACAATCAATGGTACCAGATTAATCATGATTTAAGAAGCCAAAGTGCTAAATAACTTGCTCAAATCATAGCAGTCAAATAACCAAATAATAAACACTAACAATTATAGAAAGTTCAACCAAACCCAAGGTATAAACTTTAGAAACACATAATGAACACAAAATCCAGAACTTGTATATTAACTAAACTTGGAATCAAATACAAAAGATAAAGAATTTGGAAGGAATACAACCCTTGTCACATGAGCTTTCTTCCTTGCCTTCTTCATCCTCCATCTTCATCCTAATCTAGATAATAAACAAGAATGGAAAAAGCTACACTACTCTATACTAAGCTAAACTAACACTAGAGAGATGAAAGAGCTACATTTCTGCAGCTTCAAGCTTTCTCCCGTATGTCTCTCTCTATTTTTCTCCTATGAACTCCCCTTCCCTATTTTTGCAATGCATTTGGCTATTTAATGATGAAAGGTGGTCAAGAAATGAGGATTACATCTCCCTTTTACAGCTGGGAATGTTTCTCACATGTCTAGCATCCAATGTGAGTTGGTGGAGGTGAAATTGAGTTTTACGCGTACAGAGCAGCCTTTTCTGACCAGTGATCCGAGCTGCTACAGTACCTCGGATCCGTATGGATCCGAGCTCGGATCCACTAACCCAGAAACAACCGAGGGTTCGGATGAATAGTGGATCCGAGTGTGGATCACTTGCTCTGTTTTTTGCCCAACTTCAACCAATCTTTTCTTGATGTTAGAGGCTGAAAACACGAAAGTTGTAGCCTTTTGAGTTATCTTTCTAATGCATCAAGAATCACCTCATTTGGATCTGTGTAGGCTGAGATATGACTGAAATACCCTTGCCTGCTCATTGCCCTGTTCCAGCTTCGACCAGTAGAAATTTGCTATTGTAATTCGGCATTTTGACCTGGAAAACCTTCAAACTGGATTTAGATGTCTTCACCAAAGTTGTAGATCTATATCGTATCTTCAAATTGGTTCAAGAATCATCTTAATCTGATCATTGTAGCTCAAGTTATAGCCGAAATACGAAAATGTGTCAAAACTGTCAAAATACACAAAATCCAAGTAAAAAGTGATAAAAACCTCATTTAATCACTTAAAAGCATTTTTCACCAATTATAACCAAAATGATTCATATTCTTCCAATAATATAACCAAAGTGACTAAAAATAATATAAAATGTCATACAATTATTACGTAAATTAGTCACTTATCAACCCCGAATCTCCAAATGCAAAAGAGGAAGAAAATGTTCGCTTGCGCCTTGAAGAATTGGAAGTTTTGGATGAAAAGATATTGGAGGCTCAATAAAATTTGGAATGCTATCAAGCCCGTCTCTCTAGAGTTTTCAATAAGAAAGTTCGGCGTCGCTCCTTTCAAGTCGGGGACATGGTACTTGCCGTTCGAAAGCCAATAGTTATGACTTATCGCACTAAAGACAAATTCGTCTCTAAATGGGATGGGCCGTACATTGTTCGAGGAGTCTACACGAATGGCGCGTACAAATTGGTGGACAAAGATGGCGTAAAAGTTGGTCCTATAAATGGGAAATTCGTGAAGCTATACATGCCATAAAAAAAAAGAAAAAAAACAAGTGAAACACTCCATGACGCATGAGTCTAAACTGCATGTTGCTTCAGACCCGCATGAGCTAAAACTGTGGACAATACCCACCAATAGTGTAGCACGTGGTTAAACTGCTGAAACACTCCACCAAATTTAAAGTGGTAAACAAAAAGATATTCCTGACCCGCAAGAGTTTAAACTGTGAACGGTAGGAACTACGTGTGACTTGATTCCCTTTTGGGATACGTAGGCAGCTTAGAAGACAACTTCTAAGTTCGGTTAAAACCCTATAAAACTAAAGTCTTTGTCCGGATGATTCTTTTGATAAAAAAAAAAAAAGAACGTTCATCTTTAAGACAATTCGAATTATTTTGTGACATATACTTAAAAGTGTATTATTCAGATTACCAAATTATTTGGATAATTATCTTTTCAAGTGTGATCAAAATTATGCAAAGATAGAATTGTTCATACTACGGTTGATAGTCTAAAATGGTGGCTATCGAAAAAGTAAGTAAAGACGAGGACGTCTGCAAGAATGTGATGAAAAGAAAAAAAAAAGTTTCATTATGAAGTGCTTGTACTCATAGCTGCACGCTTTGAGTAATTAGCAAGAGATGAAATTTGAAACAAAATAAAAGATGACAACTATTCCTAGAATTCAAATGACGACAGTTCCTTTCGGTTGTTTTCAAGTAATGCTTGCATCTTGTCCAAAGTTTGACTCTCCTCAGCAAGTAGGGGCGGGGAATTCTCAATCTTTCGAACTTCGTTTTGTAAGTCGACCATCACGCCTTGCACTCGGGTAAGATCATCTTGCTCTTCTCGTAACAGTGAAAGCGTCTCCTTCCTGTGAGTATCCAAGAACTCAAGTCGCTTCCTCAACTCTACTTCCTCGCGATCGATTTCCTCAAGCTTCAACATGTGTGTTGAGATCTTCTCTGCCTATTGTCTCTCCTTACTCTGAGCGTCTCTAAGATGTTGGATGGCCGTAGAAAGCAACTCATCATATGATTCAGCTGAAATTTTATTTGAGAGAGAAGATTTCACTGCAACGTAATGAGCTGCATTTGCAAAGAAAGCCTTTAAAAGGCCTTGCAAATTTGAGATATCTGTGGCATTGAAGCTTTGCATTTCCTCCATGATCTCGTTGGCTTTTATTTCAAGAGCTGGCATGCGCTCCAAAACTGTTTGAGATATCATCACTCTCAAGTTATTCCACAACATTTGGATGTAGTCTCGACGGCATGTTGAGATCACATTTTGGGGGCAAAATTCAGATACTCGAGGTGCCCTTGGCCACGATGGTGGATAAAAAACTTTGAGTTTCCTTTTGGCCGATGGAGTCATATGCTCCGCCTTCTGTGCCATGATTTGCTGAGTCACATTTTCATCATCTACTGCTTTTTTGGAATTCTCACTAGCACCCTTTTGTTGGGTAGAACCGACCACTTGTTTGGCCAAAAGTTCAAATGCAGTAGGTCCTTCAACTGATACTTGACTTGGTTCTCCATCATCAATGAAAATCAAGTCTTGATCATCCAACTGTAGGGAAAGTGTTGTGAGACAAATCATGAATATGAATTAATAAGCAAATTTCAAATGCTAGATTAAAGAAGGCAAGGAGAGTTCTTACAATATTGGCACAGCTTATATCGGGTACGGATATATTTGGAATGTCTTTAAAAAGTTCTTTAGGATCTAAACCAATGTCATCCAAGGGGAGAGTCATTACCTTGGACTTCTTGCGCTTCCAATGCTGGTCCGTACTGGTGGATTGCTCATCCTCCTCATTAAAAGGTTCGCTCCTCTTCTTCTCATGTGAATTGCAAGAATCATGATCAACAGCTTCCACAATGTTTGAAGGAAGATGAAATGAAATACCCTTCGAAAATCCTTCATTAGGAGTAAGGTCCTCAGGGGAAGTAGCTTTGTTGTTTGAACTCGTCAAAATCTCCTTCTCGCTTCTCATAGTCTTTTGCTTCATCTCAAGACTATTGCCAACCTTGGAAGCATTGTTCAGATTTGCAAGTTCCTTCCCTTTCGACTTCTTCTGCTCCCCATTTGATTGGACACTCTTAATCAAAGCATCACGCCCTTTGAGGAGATGATCATCATGCACCATAGCCCACCATGTTTGAAAGCCTGAAGATGTGTGTTTGCTAGCATTCAAGGGATAGTTAGGAAAAAGTACCATTGACTCTGTTTTACTGTGAATGGCAGTGCGCCAGAGTATTCGACTCAAGTCATAACTTGTGGAACGAACATCTGCCCCGAGTTCCTGTGGAGGAACTTGATAAAATCAGAATTGCTGCGCGAATCTGTATGGACTGTATGGCTCAACAAGGAAATCCCCGTCAACATGCGAAACTAAGTAATTTGAACAGGCGCTTACAAAATAACTTAGTTCGAGATTCGCTAATTTGCTATTGTCAATAAAAAATTCGTTGCGGTTCTTCACAAGAGAAGTAATTCCCCAAGTTGCCTTATCTCCCTGATAAATGAGGTCGTGAGCACTATTTTCATCAAAGTATCGTGCGCCACCCTCTCCAGAATAGTTGGCCGTGATGGGTCCAGGCATGGTATTTGGAGTCGAATAATGGGTAGAAAAATAACTCGCTAACCAAGCATATACGTAGTGCACCAGAAAAGCCGCACGTGCACACCCTGGGGTAGCTGAGTTTGAAATTTTGTCAATCCCACGGTATATGTTTAGCAGGACAGGAACAGCAAGGCAAGTCTTACGACCGGCAGCCATCATACTAGCCATTTTGAAAATAGATGGTCTAATATAATGGAGGTCCTCATCTGGTAAAGTAAAGACACAGAGCCAGCAAGATATAAATGCTGCAAGATAAGTCTCTTCCCGTAAATGAAGTTTAACTCCAATGGTATCAAATACGCCATTGTCTTGACTTGAAAATTTGCGTGGTTGTCCAATTTCGCCATCCGGATTTTGGGTCGCTTGAGCACGAGATGCCCTCTTTATCCTTCTTTGTTTTGGCTTTAAGTATCTGGTTTTGCCTTTAAACCAAAAGTTAATCCATTGGGCAGCAGAAACTCCAGTTTTGTTGGATTCCCCATGTTGAAGATGATGTAAGGCTGCGAACAAATACTCACAGTTTTGTGGAATGTGCCTTAATTTCTTTTCATTAACTCCAGTCAGCTCCTCCGCGCATGGGATTACCTCTTCATAGATACCCCCAATGATTGGAAGTCCTCCTAACTTGTGCAAGTCCCAAAGTGATAGAGACAATTCTCCAACAGACGTATGTAAGGTATTAGTGTCTACACACCATGCCTCGCAGAATGCTCTAAGTACATGGGGATTCCTATCATATGTGAAAAGCGAAGCATATAAGGCGTCAAACAAGTAATTTTCACGGAGCACTTGTTTGTTCCTGCCGAGGATATCCTCCAACCACTCCCAATAATTCTCAATGTAACTGAATGCACCACTGAGCCTCAAGGAAGGACCCCAGTGTGCATCTCCGTCTATGATCCGCCTGCCCAGGGTTTGAAAAGGAGTTGTTCTTGGCTCCTTATCATGAATAAGGGATCTCAAGGAGTGGACTTTCGTGCCGTCATCCTGAGAAAGTTCAAGTAACCAGTCCTTCAATTCTGGGTACTGGTGAGAAGGCCACTTACCAGAGTAAGTTCCTTGTATGGGGGGATGCACCAATAATTTCGTTCCTTTGTCACCAGAGTCACCATCACTGTCAGCGATAAGGAGATACTTTTCGTTTGAAGATGTGACTTCCTTGAATACCACCATTTTATCAAGACTAACTTGCAACAAAAGCAAGGAAAAAGGAAAGTTTGGTTAAAATGACATGGTCGAAAACAGTAAAAGGCTTCTTGAATTTTGAGTGAGTTTTTATTGAAGTGGGTAATCGTGTCTCCTTCATGTACTCCTCAAGCCATAATACGGCTCTCGTGGGAGTTTTCGGTTGCGCCTTCTTCAAATTGAGTGGTCACACTCTCCTTCATGTACTCCTCAAGCCATAATATGGCTCTCGTGGGAGTTTGCGGTTGCGCTTTCTTCAAATTTTGGTTGCGCCATCTCTTTTGTACTCCTCAAGCCATAATATGGCTCTCGTGGGAGTTTGCGGTTGCGCCTTCTTCAAATTTTGGTTGCGCCATCTCTTTTGTACTCCTCAAGCCATAATACGGCTCTCGTGGGAGTTTGCGGTTGCACCTTCTTCAAATTGAGTGGTCACACCCCCCCTTCATGTACTCCTCAAGCCATAATACGGCTCTCGTGGGAGTTTGCGGTTGCATTTTCTTCAAATTAAGTGTCCACCAAGAGATCCCCCCTTCGTGGCGAAAAAAAAAATGGCATTGACAATAGGTGAAAATCATGAGGCATGTGAGTTACCTTAGTGTTGTGAATTCCACGAGCTATAAAGTGCCAAACACAATTGGAACGTCAACTCGCTTCAGTGGGTGTCAATACAAGCTGTAAAAAAAAAAAAAAAACTCATAAGAAGGATGCTTTTCCAAGAAAGTCGCAATGCATGTGTTGGTGAGCACTTTATGTCAGTTATCAATTAAATTGACATGAAAAGCAAAAAGCAAAAAAAAAAAAACTCAAAAAAAAAAAAGAAAATATTTTTTTTTCCTCTTTCCAAGGTGGAAATAAATCAAGTTTTGACAGATTACAATGAAATTTGGTGGACATCTATTACTCGACCAACATGTAGTTGTCAAAAGGCAGTAAAGATGATTACCTTCAGGGTGCACGTGTGAAACAGGTTTCTTCTTCAAATATTGTGGTAGTCTTCAATAAAGATGTTTGTCACAGTTTCAAGACAAAAACATGTCTTGTGCGGCTTTTATAAGGTGCTTGGATGAATCGTTTTAAGAAGTTTTAAATTTTGGGCAACTACTAAATTCAGTGATTACCATTTAACTTTTTGGAATCACATGAATTTGGTTCCTAAGATTAACTTCAAAAGCTGAAGGTCGGTTTAGGAAACTCTTGAAATTCGGCAGTCAGAGGTGCTTGGATGAATCATTTTAAGAAGTGTTAAACTTCGGCAACTACTAAATTCAGTGATTACCATTTAATTTTTTGGAATCACATGAATTTTGTTCCTAAAATCAATTTCCAAAAACTGGAAGTCAGTTTAGGAAGCTATCGAAATTCGAGAAATTCCATATTGTCAAGACATTGGTTTCGGCAATTACCTATTTGTCGCGCCCCATTTTTTGATGAATAAATAAAATGGTTTAAAAATGTATTTTGATTTAATTTATGATTGAAAAATGAATTGTGATTTAAAAGAAAAATGGGTCTAAATGGGGGTTTGAAAATGCGACGATTTGACCCAAAATTATAGTTTAAAAAGGGTTTTTTAAAAAAAATGGGAGTCGCCACTTGGTAATGAGTTAAAGTGTACCAAGTCACCTAAAAATGAATTTTTTAGGAAAAAGTTGCAAGAAACCCCTTTTAAACGACTCCTAATCCACGTAAACCAAAAAAAAGGTTCGGGAGTCCATTTGACGAAGGGGAAGGCAAGGATAAAAATCCAAGGCACCCCTTCGACCTAGCCAAGGCTAGTTGCGTGATTTAATCAAAGTTTTTCTTATTTTAACCAAAGAATTTATTACATTTGGATGCACTACATGAATGCAAAAGGAAAGAAAAAATGCAAACCTAAATTCTAAAATGTCTCTTGTAAGGTTTTTGGTCCCAACCACATGAATTGTGGCGGCCAATAAAGAAAAACCTTATAGAGGTCGATTAATGCAAATGATGGCTAAAGTGCAAGTGTGCAAGTGTATAAAAAGGTGCACGTGTGAAATTGTATGAAAAGTCCAAGTGTTTGTGTGCAAGTGTATGAAATATAGTGATAAGTGCATATAGGTGTAATTAAGTGCAATTTTGTGAAGTAGAAATCAAAATGAACAATAAGGAAAGGAAAAGTGATGAGGAAATGTGAATTGAAAAAAATGAGTAAGTGATAAATGAGAATGAATGAACCTAAAGGAATGCATCAGGTCGGGTGTGGGAATGACTCCTAACTTTTTCGACTTCGATTTTCCCTTTGATTAGAAGGCAAAACTAGCGTGCTAAGGCTATCGAGTAGCCACACTCGCTCGTTTCCCTTATCGGAAGGGGACACTAAAGCAAAATGAGCCCTATAGCTAGTATGGGATGCAAAACCTAAAATGAGAGGAAAAGGGGTTTGAGGATCATGCCAAATGATAAAACTAAGGAAAATGCGTGATATGTGGTGAACAAGCAAATGATGTACTATCGAGGGAAAATCCCTAAGGGTCTAGCGTTGGACTAACCCATTCCATGAATTCCGACTAGCGTTGGACTAGTGGAAACGATAAAAGAAGCCACAACTAGCGTTGGACTAGTGTGATGACGTACATTCATCCATTCCATTCATCCACACTATAAAAAGCGAGTAGACATGCGAATCACTTATAAACACGTAGCACATAACACTTAGCATGCTTGACTAGATGCAAGGACCTAATAAAGCGATTAAACACTTAACACGTAGGCATGCAACCAAACTAATGAACCTATTACATTCACTAACTAAAACAAAAGGGGAAGGGGAAAATAGACCAAATTGCTCGCCACAGCCCTATCTATTACAAGCCAAGAGGTGTACACATACCCCATTAAAAGAATAACTTAATGAAAACAAAAAGTAAATGACATAAGTAAAAGGAATTAAAGAAAAACTAGAAAAGCAAAGTAGACATGCAATTCACTTAGCACGTTGAGTCACATGAGAGAAACAAAAAAAGATAAAAGAAGTTATACCTCCCTTAAGTTGATGCCTTAAATGGAGTGAAATCACTTATTCATCCTCCAAAATAAAAGAAATATCAAGGTACCACTTTAAATAAAAGATAATCACAAAAGATAAAAATAAACAGGAAATTGAATCAATTAAATCATATAATCAACCCACATTCAAGAAGTCAAAAGAAAAAGAGACTTGATTGCAAACATTACCAAAGTTTTGGGGTCAAAATTAAAGAAAAATAAAGTACAGGGGCCTATTCGCAATTAAATTAGGGACCCAATTGAAAAAGGTTGAAAATGTCCAGGGCCACAGTACAGTTAAGGAGAAATTCAGGGACTGATTTGCAACTTTGGTTTCTGGTTGCTAATGGGTCAGGCCAGTAGGCCAGTTTTGCATCTTATTTGGGCCAGAACCTTCCCTAGCCCAATCGAAATTCAGACCAAAAGGAATGGACCAATCTATCATTTAAAACCCCAAAATTAAGTAACAAGACCGGTGGGCTTTTACCCTTTAGCCCAAACCAAAACCCAAAATAATAAACTAAAACCATTTTTAAAACCCAATCAAAAACAACTTCTTAGCCCAAATCCCCTATTTCACTAA